CTCTTGTGTTCTGTCGAACAAATATGCAGTATGACGGAACTACTGTCGTTGAGTCCAGCTTAGAGAGTGTGGGAGCGAAAGTTATTTCTATACACACTTGGAAGTGTGCTGATTTGTGTGTAACTCTGACAGCACACAACAAGAACATGTATAATACTGTAACTCTGACAGCACACAACAAGAACATGTATAATACTGTAACTCTGACAGCACACAACAAGAACATGTATAATACTGTAACTCTGACAGCACACAACAAGAACATGTATAATACTGTAACTCTGACAGCACACAACAAGAACATGTATAATACTGTAACTCTGACAGCACACAACAAGAACATGTATAATACTGTAACTCTGACAGCACACAACAAGAACATGTATAATACTGTAACTCTGACAGCACACAACAAGAACATGTATAATACTGTAACTCAGCACACAACAAGAACATGTATAATACTGTAACTCTGACAGCACACAACAAGAACATGTATAATACTGTAACTCTGACAGCACACAACAAGAACATGTATAATACTGTAACTCTGACAGCACACAACAAGAACATGTATAATACTGTAACTCTGACAGCACACAACAAGAACATGTATAATACTGTAACTCTGACAGCACACAACAAGAACATGTATAATACTGTAACTCTGACAGCACACAACAAGAACATGTATAATACTGTAACTCTGACAGCACACAACAAGAACATGTATAATACTGTAACTCTGACAGCACACAACAAGAACATGTATAATACTGTAACTCTGACAGCACACAACAAGAACATGTATAATACTGTAACTCTGACAGCACACAACAAGAACATGTATAATACTGTAACTCTGACAGCACACAACAAGAACATGTATAATACTGTAGCTCTGACAGCACACAACAAGAACATGTATAATACTGTAACTCTGACAGCACACAACAAGAACATGTATAATACTGTAGCTCTGACAGCACACAACAAGAACATGTATAATACTGTAACTCTGACAGCACACAACAAGAAACATGTTATAATACTGTAACTCTGACAGCACACAACAAGAACATGTATAATACTGTAACTCTGACAGCACACAACAAGAACATGTATAATACTGTAACTCTGACAGCACACAACAAGAACATGTATAATACTGTAACTCTGATAGCACACAACAAGAACATGTATAAAACTGTAACTTGGAATAAAAAATTAAATTTTTCTGCAAAGAAAACAAAACAGAAGGGGGGAAATTTAATTAATTGCATTCACTACAGTGACTAAGGTAGTTCACTGCTCCAACAGTCACAAGTCAGAGGACAATTCAAGAGATTATTATTTATACGATGGTCTCTCCATTTGCACACCACCGGTTGTAGGTCAACTCCCCTGATAAGTTGGATGGACGAGTCTACTGTAATTGAGGTTATGGGTGTCGCAGTCTGTTGTTGTCTGGTATTTACGTTTTTATTTCCGAGAAAGAGACGGCCTGTGACATAAGTATGAGCGCGAGTGCGGAGTATCCCCGTGACGTTGTGTGAAAGTCGGATCGCTCGAGGCTGACCTATCAGAGTGAGGTGGTCAGTAGGTTGTCCAATCAGAAGCGAGCTAGTGTGTAGCGGTGTGTAAATGGGGAGACCAGTGTAAAATTTATCCAAGAGACGTATTACCATGCATCAATCTATTATAATTTGTACAAAAAAGTGTAGGGGCTTTTAGATCCAAAATACAAGATTTCTCTCAACTACATACTACTGCATTTGTCACTCTTACACATCTGCATGACCTGAACTATATATTCACACACAAATGCGCTCGCGCGCTCGCACACACACACACACAAACACACACACTGCAATTTTTGCATTGCTGTTTAACGCTATCCTAGCATGGTAGAGCATTGAACAGAAGGACAAGCTATGATAGTTTGGGATAACATGTGATCACAGACTTTCGTGTCAGTACCAGGGCAAAATGAGCCAGTGTCTAGAGCATACTACATGAGAACAGCAGGCTTCGTGAGGTCGACTAAAAAAAACTGTGGGTGGAGGAAGTCAGAGAGACACTCGGTTAATTAAATAATTGGTAGTTAGCTAGTTAATTAGTTGGTTAATTAGTTAGCATGCTGTACGCAAGCGAAACATGGACTGTGTACCAGCGATTGGCTAGAAAGTTAAACCACTTTCACACAGTCTGCCTTAGAAAACTAATGCTTATCAAAGTACCTGATACCGTAGTCCTTGAGAAAGCAGCCACGCCCAGCATCCACACTCTACTGATGCAGTATCAAATTCGTTGGGCTGGTGAAGTGGCACGCATGTCAGATCACAGGCTCACAAAAAACTCTTCTATGATGAGCTGCAAAATGTGAAACGTTCACAAGGCGGGCACAAGAAACGCTTTAAGGAAACCCTGAAGTCTTCGCTCAAAGCATTTGGGATGAATGACACCAATTGGGAGGCTGCCTCTCAAGACTGAAATGCATGGCATGCAGCTCTACACAAGGACGTGGCTACATGTGAAGCAAACAGAACAGCTAGACTGATTAAGCAAAGGATGGAAAGAGAGGCGACTGCATCTTCGTACTCATACTTGATGAAAAATACTGGTTATCATCATCTTGATGGACAAAACACACATGATTAGTTAGTTATTCAGTCAGTCAGTCAGTTAGTTAGTTAGTTAGTTAGTTAGTTAGTTAGTTAGTTAGTTAGTTAGTTAGTTAGTTAGTTAGTTAGTTAGTTAGTTAGTTAGTTAGTTAGTTAGTTAGTTAGTTAGTTAGTTAGTTAGTTAGTTAGTTAGTTAGTTAGTTAGTTAGTTAGTTAGTTAGTTAGTTAGTTAGTTATTCAGTCAGTCAGTCAGTAAGTTAGTTAGTTAGCTAGTTAGTTAGTTAGTTAGTTAGTTAGTTAGTTAGTTAGTTAGTTAGTTAGTTAGTTAGTTAGTTAGTTAGTTAGTTAGTTAGTTAGTTAGTTAGTTAGTTAGTTAGTTAGTTAGTTAGTTAGTTAGTTAGTTAGTTAGTTAGTTAGTTAGTTAGTTAGTTAGTTAGTTAGTTAGTTAGTTAGTTAGTTAGTTAGTTAGTTAGTTAGTTAGTTAGTTAGTTAGTTAGTTATTCAGTCAGTCAGTCAGTAAGTTAGTTAGTTAGTTAGTTAGTTATTTAGTTAGTTAGTTAGTTAGTTAGTTAGTTAGTTAGTTAGTTAGTTAGTTAGTTAGTTAGTTAGTTAGTTAGTTAGTTAGTTAGTTAGTTAGTTAGTTAGTTAGTTAGTTAGTTAGTTAGTTAGTTAGTTAGTTAGTTATGTAGTTAGTTAGTCAGTTAGTTAGTTAGTTAGTTACGTAGTTAGTTAGTCAGTCAGTTAGTTAGTTAGTTAGTTAGTTAGTTAGTTAGTTAGTTAGTTAGTTAGTTAGTTAGTTAGTTAGTTAGTTAGTTAGTTAGTTAGTTTAGTTAGTTAGTTAGTTAGTTAGTTAGTTAGTTAGTTAGTTAGTTAGTTAGTTAGTTAGTTAGTTAGTTAGTTAGTTAGTTAGTTGGTTAGTTGGTTGGTTAGTTAGTTAGTTAGTTAGTTAGTTAGTTAGTTAGTTAGTTAGTTAGTTAGTTAGTTGGTTGGTTAGTTAGTTAGTTAGTTAGTTAGTTAGTTAGTTAGTTAGTTAGTTAGTTAGTTAGTTAGTTATTTAGTTAGTTAGTTAGTTAGTTAGTTAGTTAGTTAGTTAGTTAGTTAGTTAGTTAGTTAGTTAGTTAGTTAGTTAGTTAGTTAGTTAGTTAGTTAGTTAGTTAGTTATGTAGTTAGTTAGTCAGTTAGTTAGTTAGTTAGTTATGTAGTTAGTTAGTCAGTTAGTTAGTTAGTTAGTTAGTTAGTTAGTTAGTTAGTTAGTTAGTTAGTTAGTTAGTTAGTTAGTTAGTTAGTTAGTTAGTTAGTTGGTTAGTTAGTTGGTTGGTTAGTTAGTTAGTTAGTTAGTTAGTTAGTTAGTTAGTTAGTTAGTTAGTTAGTTAGTTAGTTAGTTAGTTAGTTAGTTAGTTAGTTAGTTAGTTAGTTAGTTAGTTAGTTAGTTAGTTAGTTAGTTAGTTAGTTAGTTATTCAGTCAGTCAGTCAGTAAGTTAGTTAGTTAGCTAGTTAGTTAGTTAGTTAGTTAGTTAGTTAGTTAGTTAGTTAGTTAGTTAGTTAGTTAGTTAGTTAGTTAGTTAGTTAGTTAGTTAGTTAGTTAGTTAGTTAGTTAGTTAGTTAGTTAGTTAGTTAGTTAGTTAGTTAGTTAGTTAGTTAGTTAGTTAGTTAGTTAGTTAGTTAGTTAGTTATGTAGTTAGTTAGTCAGTTAGTTAGTTAGTTAGTTAGTTAGTTAGTTATGTAGTTAGTTAGTCAGTTAGTTAGTTAGTTAGTTAGTTAGTTAGTTAGTTAGTTAGTTAGTTAGTTAGTTAGCTAGCTAGTTAGTTAGTTATTCAGTCAGTCAGTAAGTAAGTTAATTAGTTAGCTAGCTAGTTAGTTAGTTAGTTAGTTAGTTAGTTAGTTAGTTAGTTAGTTAGTTAGTTAGTTGGTCAATTATTTATTCAGTTAGTTAATTAGGTAATTAGTTAGTTATTTAGCTAGTCAGTCATTCAGTCAGTCAGTTAGTTAGTCAGTCAGCCTGTGTGTGTGTCTATGTTTGTCTGTGCCTGTGTGTCTCGTGTGTCTACCCATTCTGTTCGGAGTTTGCCGGTTTGTATCTTCTTAAGCATGCTCATTCCATCTGTTAATATCAATACGTGAGTTTCTTGCTGTTATGCCGCCATACAAGTGTCACTGTGACAGCTGCTAACTCCATTGACATGCTAGAAGTAGTTGAACTGACTGCTTGACTTTCATCTTTTACTGTCCTCCCATTAACTTGTGCTATGTTTAGTCCGTCAGTCACGACAAAGTGCAACTGCTTTGACGTTAATTTAAAAAAAAATGCTCAAAAAAGGTACGTGTACTGTGTATTGCTGTATACCGCCAGGAAACACAATAACGACCTGCGCTAATATGGGATACTTGTCGGGACTGGTGGGTTTGTTTTGTAAAGATTTTAGGCGCTGCCAAGTCCTACAGGCCTATGTGTGTAATCACCGAGTCACACGTTTCTGGATCGGAAGATTCATTATTCATTCACCCCATTATGCGACACAATTTTAGGTTACTTCAAAGCCCTACACCGGCTCTCGTAAAAGAAAAAAAAGGGGGGGGGGGGAGGCTAAAATAACCAATGGGTTAAACAGGGTGTCTGAGATTAGTACCCGGGTGATTCTCGTCCGAATGGTACCACGTTGTGTCACCATGTGTTAATCACTCGTCATGCGGTCCTGTTGGGGTTGAACGTCAGTCAGTAATTCGCTCTCCTGGATATGTGAAGTTTGTGGTTTCCAACTGTAAAGTTTGGTATACCTTTGTGTTTCATAATTATATCCTGGGAACCGTACTACTACTAGAGCTAGGGAGCTTCGCTCTCATCGTATTGAAAGGGCTATTTAGGAGAGGGCAGTCGATAAGAGATTAAATTTGGTGGGAAAAAAGTTGGTTCTTTAACCATTTTTGTTTCAAAAATCCAAGTACCCATCCGATCAGTTCTGCTTCGCCAGCATGTTTGTTTCGTTTCTTCCTATCGCTAGCAACTTTCTAAAAATTTAGGTTGATTTAAAACTCAAAGTCCACAAGATGGCAGGTTCGTGAACTTTGACCTCGGCTTCACTGGCATTACAGATGACTTGACTGGACCTCTCTGATTGCTGGCTGTCCTCGACTGATGGATGCATAAATCGGTCTGTGGACGGAACAGATTACTGAAATATCATGTAAGTTTTCACCGGACACTGCTCAAGTTGTGTACCTTTGTATGTAGAGTCCAGCAACCTGATCGTCAGCAGGGATGCAGAACCAACCAGGTGGCTCATGCACTTTGAAAAGGGTGGGGGGGGGGGGATCCCACCCAGTAATTTTAGAGGGTCTGAGCACCCCGCAGCCTAAATAATTTGCAAGTGGAAAATGGGGAAGGGGTGGATTAGTGACGCTTTCCCCTCCAATAGAAGTTCTCTCTTCAAGTATTTTTTTTACATTTTATATTATTTCAAATATATTTTTTCTTCAGTACATAATAATAACAAAAATTATAAGGAGAATCTGTATACCGGAGCTGGCATTTGCAGACGATGTGGCCCCGATAGCTAAATCAGAGGCACACCTTCAGTCCAACTTACTTCTCTGGAAGAAAGAGATTGAGAAGAGAGGGAGGACCATCAGTATCTCCAAAACTAAAACCATGGTGATCTCAAGAGAGGAGAAGAAACACCAGATCATGATGGGGCAGTATGCATTGGAGCAGGTCAACCAGTTCAAATACCTTGGAGTTGTATTAGATCGAAATGGAGGCATTAGGACTGAGCTGGCGGCATTAGGACTGAACTGGCGGCATTAGGACTGAACTGGCGGCATTAGGACTGAGCTGGCGGTACAAAAAGCAGCTGCTAGGAGACTTCCAGGACATAAACTGGGTGTTTCTTAGCAAAGGAGAAATTTGCAAGAGGATGAAAATGGCTGTTTACCGCTCTGCCTATATACCATTCCTGACCTATGGGTGTGAGTCATGGGCAATGACAACAGCTCACAGAAGCCAGCTTCAGGTCTCAGAAATGCAACATCAGAGAAAGTTGGTCCAAGTGACAAAAAGGGACACAGTCAGAGAATACTTCAAGGTCTTGAAACTCAGGCCTTACTTACACAAGTGGATCAGTCACAGTTACGATGGTTTGGACATGTATGCAAGAAAAGATATAAAACCAAACAAAAGATTATATCAACAAGCTTCACAATATAACAAACACAACATGTGAATATTGCAGCTATAAAGCATTCATCAGTACATACATAAGTCAAACAATACCAGACAAAATCACTTAGCTGAGTGTCTCGAAGCAGGCAAGTCAATGTCTTGTTAGTAGAATGACATGCGCGCTCCTGTAACAGAGATTTTCTCGTTGAGTACGGTACTTTTTTTCCAGAAAAGAAGTTCTGACTACAACTGTTACAGTATTACTGTTATTACAGTAACCTCTGCTATTGCTGCTGCTGCTACTACTATTACAACTACTATTGACTACTATTATTACTACTATTAAAGTACTACTGTTAGTACAGTTACTTCTACTATTACTGCTGCTGCTACTACTATTACAACTACTGATGACTACTATTACTACTACTATTATAGTACTACTGTTAGTACAGTTACTTTCCAACAATGAACCAAAGGACCAGGATGTGGAGGGCTCGGGCATATCTCAAAATATGTGCTGATAAGAAACACCCACTGCATCAAGCGCTTTTTAGTGAAAAGGGCGACAGACTGAAGAGGGGGAAATCGTGGCTAGGTCGGGCAGAAGATGTTATTAGGCAAATATGCAGCCTAACCGACATCATACCTGGTGCAGAATGGATACCTGTGCCTCAGGCGTTTATTTGTACATTTTCCTGTATTGTCACACTCAACAGGCGATGTAGAGAAGAGAATCCTGTTGCTGTTAATGCAGAGGTCAACGCTCTCATCGGTGAAAATTCAGACGAAGCAGATGCAATAATCTATACAGACGGATCCGTTATACGCCAAAGAAGAAGCGCATGGGCATTTACAGCACGCTCAGCGGGCAGAACATTCAAAGAAGCCAACGGCGCCTTCTCCATGACAACCAGCAGCATGACGATGGAGGTGATGGCAGTGACACAAGCGCTTGCCTGGCTTGAAACACAAAAATACACCCGCGTGTGTATACTCAGTGATTCAATGAGTATGATCCGGAGGGTTCAGGCAGGTTCAGTGCGAAGACAATGGCTTGAATCATTACAGAAGTCAACTGTCCGTGGAGTCACCTTTATTTTTGTTCCGGGACACGCAGGCGTCGATGGAAATGAAAGAGCTGACAGGTTGGCTGGATCCGCTATCACTACCGACGGTCAGCCTATGGATCATGCTGATATTATCAATGCCCTCAGAGAAATGGGAAGGATAGACGACTTTGGTGGCAGTGAATCCACATCACTCGTCAGAATGGCAGACTTGGGAATTAAGATTGGCACAGCAAAAAACGAGACGCACACCAGCTACGCCAGAAGACTTGTTAATCAACATAGAACTGGTACTATTAGCCATCGGACGTTTGGGGTTCATACTGAGGGGAGGATCTGAGCACCTATAGACATGTCCGGAGTGCAATGAGGATAACCCAACTAACTAACTAACTAACTAACTAACTAACTAACTAACTAACTAACTAACTAACTAACTAACTAACTAACTAACTAACTAACTAACTAACTAACTAACTAACTAACTAACTAACTAACTAACTAACTAACTAACTAACTAACTAACTAACTAACTAACTAACTAACTAACTAACTAACTAACTAACTAACTAACTAACTAACTAACTAACTAACTAACTAACTAACTAACTAACTAAACTAACTAAACTAACTAACTAACTAACCTAACTAACCTAACTAACTAGCTAAACTAACTAACTAACTAACTAACTAACTAACTAACTAACTAACTAACTAACTAACTACTACTAACTAACTAACTAACTAACTAACTAACTAACTAACTAACTAACTAACTAACTAACTAACTAACTAACTAACTAACTAACTAACTAACTAACTAACTAACTAACTAACTAACTAACTAACTAACTAACTAACTAACTAACTAACTAACTAACTAACTAACTAACTAACTAACTAACTAACTAACTAACTAACTAACTAACTAACTGTTAGTACAGTTTCTTCTACTTTAACTGCTGCTGCTACTATTACAACTACTAATGACATCTATTATTACTACTACTATTATTGTACTTCTGTTATTACAGTTACTGCTACTTATGTGTTCTTTGTCATAAAATATATGAGATCACCTCATTATGTTGTGAATACGCCATTTTATGTTCTCTTCAGGGAATTCAAATCCTGGGTCAGTCATGTAGCGGGGCTGCCAGAAACTCATTTCAAGGTATCCAGGAATCCACTGACTGCATCCTTCAGGTTTCCTGCATTTAGTTTGTCTGATGTTAATAGAGATGGTAGGTTTGATCTGCCGACATGTGATATCTAAATTTTGTTGGTTGGTTATCATTGTTGTTGTCATCAACACTTTGGCTATAATTGTCCTATCATCAACATCATCATTATTATGAACAGCAGCACTGTAATTACCAGCACCATTATCATGGTTATATAACCACTACCATCACCACAATCATGATTAGCGGAGTCCATCACCATCATTATAATCTTGTATGCATGAGAGGCTGTTGAAAACAAAGATGATTGCGTTAGATCTGGCATCAAGAAATGAATCTGCTCAAGAAAAACTTTTACTAGGAAATAATTTTGGAACAGTCATTGATATCGACTTTAGTAGAAGCATTAGGTTGTGAGTCATTAACTCTTTGAGTCCCAAAGAACAAATCAGATGTTCATAGGTTCCTACCTAGAAGCCCAATGAATGCATGATGCACCAATTTTATGACTATTTACTAACCCCTAGGCCTGTGATGCTAAACCCCCTGGGACTCAAAGAGTTAATAAAGGCTTCAGTAGAAATATTAGGTTGTGAGTTATTGATAAAGACTTGAATAGAAACATCAGGTTTGTGAGTCATTGATAAAATCTTGATTTAAAATATTTTTTTGGTTTCTAGTCATAATTTGTGTTTAGTGACTACATTTCTTTGTAAATGAAATGGGTTGAACTGCAGTAAAATGGGGAACATTTGTATGGAAATGTCAGCATCTGTGCAACATGAAGCATAAGTGAGGGTTGTTAAAATGATGATTGCAATAAAAGCCTCCATAGGTAAACAGTGAAACAAACTCTGAGCAATCTTGAAGGATTGACCTTCAGTTTGTTTGCTTTTATACAAGTTTAAATTGCTGAATCTATGACATCCCTTTAGTGGAAATTTGCTCTCCAGTGTCCTGTTTTGAGTCCTGTCATTCTTTAGTGTCCTGTTTTGAGTCCTGTCATTCTTTAGTGTCCTGTTGCAAGTCCTGTCACTCTCTAGTGTCCTGTTTTGAGTCCTGTCATTCTTTAGTGTCCTATTTTAAGTCCTGTCACTTTTTAGTGTCCTGTTTTAAGTCCTGTCATTCTTTAGTGTCCTGTTTTGAGTCCTGTCACTCTCTAGTATCCTGTTTTGAGTCCTGTCACTCTTTAATGCTCTGTTTTGAGTCCTGTCACTCTTTAATGACCTGTTTTGAGTCCTGTCATTCTTTAGTATCCTGTTTTAAGTCCTGTCACTCTCTAGTGTCCTGTTTCAAGTCCTGTCATTCTTTAATGTCCTGTTTTGAGTCCTGTCACTCTTTAGTTTCCTGTTTTGAGTCCTGTCACTCTTTAGTGTCCTGTTTTGAGTCCTGTCATTCTTTGATATCCTATTTTAAGTCATGTCACTTTTTAGTGTCCTGTTTTGAGTCCTGTCATTCTTTAGTGTCCTGTTTTGAGTCCTGTCATTCTTTAATGTCCTGTTTTGAGTCCTGTCATTCTTTAATGTCCTGTTTTGAGTCCTGTCATTCTTTAATGTCCTGTTTTGAGTCCTGTCATTCTTTAATGTCCTGTTTTGAGTCCTATCACTCTCTAGTATCCTGTTTTGAGTCCTGTCACACTTTAATGTCATATTTTGAGTCCTGTCACTCTTTAATGTTCTGTTTTGAGTCCTGTCACTCTCTAATGTCCTGTTTTGAGTCCTGTCACTCTCTAGTGTCCTGTTTTGAGTCCTGACACTCTCTAGTGCCCTGATTTGAGTCCTGTCACTCTCTAGTGTCCTGTTTTGAGTCCTGTCACTCTCTAATGTCCTGTTTTGAGTCCTGTCACTCTCTAATGTCCTGTTTTGAGTCCTGACACTCTCTAGTGTCCTGTTTTAAGTCCTGTCACTCTCTAGTGTCCTGTTTTAAGTCCTGACACTCTCTAGTGTCCTGTTTTAAGTCCTGTCACTCTCTAGTGTCCTGTTTTAAGTCCTGTCACTCTCTAGTGTCCTGTTTTAAGTCCTGTCACTCTCTAGTGTTCTGTTTTAAGTCCTGTCACTCTCTAGTGTCCTGTTTTAAGTCCTGTCACTCTCTAGTGTCCTGTTTTGAGTCCTGTCACTCTCTAGTGTCCTGTTTCAAGTCCTGTCACTCTCTGGTGTCCTGTTTTGAGTCCTGTCACTCTCTAGTGTCCTGTTTTGAGTCCTGACACTCTCTAGTGTTCTGTTTTAAGTCCTGTCACTCTCTAGTGTCCTGTTTTGAGTCCTGACACTCTTTAATGTCCTGTTTTGAGTCCTGTCACTCTCTAGTGTCCTGTTTTAAGTCCTGTCACTCTCTAGTGTCCTGTTTTGAGTCCTGACACTCTTTAATGTCCTGTTTTGAGCCCTGTCGCTCTTTAATGTCCTGTTTTGAGTCCTGTCACACTTTAATGTCATATTTTGAGTCCTGTCACTCTTTAATGTCCTATTTTGAGTCCTGTCACTCTTTAATGTCCTGTTTTGAGTCCTGTCACTCTTTAGTGTCCTGTTTTAAGTCCTGTCACTCTCAAGTGTCCTGTTTTGAGTACTGTCATTCTTTAGTGTCCTGATTTGAGTCCTGTAGTTCTTTAGTGTCCTGTTTTAAGTCCTGTCAATCTCTAGTGTCCTGTTTTGAGTCCTGTCATTTTTTAGTGTCCTGTTTTAAGTCCTGTCACTCTCTAGTGTCCTGATTTGAGTCCTGTCACTCTCTAGTGTCCTGTTTCAAGTCCTGTCACTCTTTTTTGTCCTGTTTTAAGTCATGTCATTCTCCAGTGTCCTGTTTTGAGTCCTGTCACTCTTTTTGTCCTGTCACTCTTTAGTGTCCTGTTTTGAATCCTGTCACTCTTTATTGTCCTGTTTTGAGTCCTGTCACTCTTTAGTGTCCTGTTTTGAGTCCTGTCACTCTCGAGTGTGTGGTTTTGATTCCTGCCTGCTGTCTTCTCTTAATCATTTTTTTACTTTCTCAGGTGTCATGGATGCTACAAGCATTATGTGGGTTGCTGACAGTGCTCTCACCTTTGCCCAGCATTACCCCTACAGGAACAATGAGGAAAGATGGATCCCCTGGGCTGATGTCCGTCGTAACCACCTAACCTTCATTTCATCTCTGGAAATTGTGATTTCTAGACGGTTGTATGATAGACATGTCCCCAAGTGGCATCTTGGGGCTAAAGTATCTCTTGGGTTTATTGGCAAGTCTACGGCAACATTTCCTGCCGAGCTGTATATTCCTGGTTCCCAGGAAATTCTTATAAAACAAACAACACAGATAAATGGAATTGACAAGACAACTCGCAAATCACAACCTTTCCCAGACTGGTTCAGAAGTAAATATGAAGATCAGTGTTCATTGAAACAGGGTTTCAGACTAGAACCCTTTTCCAGACCACAGGAGACATATGTTTACCGACATCAGGTTAGTAGTCTTATTATTTATCAGGAGTTTAAGAAGTGGATTTTATAATTGACATCATAGCACACCGGGCACACTAGGCACACCTATAAATGCTCCTTCTTCAGCATCAAATGTGATAATGTGAAGAGCAGGGCTATTCAACAGGCAGCCCATGGATCATATCTGGCCAGCAGAGGACTAGCAAGTGGCCCGTCAATCATTGCCATCATCATCATCATCAGGTGCCTTGCCGAGTGGCGTGGGCGATCATGCCTCTCCATAATCCGCGATCTCCTGCAGCATGTATCAGTTCGTGTGCCGACACACCTCCATGCCATGCAACAAGACTGTCAAGCATCTTCTCTCGTTTTCTTCCTCTATCCCTCCTTCCACAGATCTTTCCAGTGCCTACCGATTGTCCAGGATTCACATCCATATGTTAAAACTGGATGTATGTAGCAAGCAAGAATTCTTTTTCTAACTCTCAATGACAAGGATATATTGCACAAGATGTTTTTCATTTTATAAAATGCAGTTTTTGCCTGTCCAATTCTGTTTCTTATTTCAGTTATGCATCTTCCATCTGATGTTATCCATGTGCCCAGATACTTAAATTTCTGTACTTGTCTTAAAATAACACCATTGACTTTTATTACACATTTAGGAATAATTTGTTTCTTTGATACCACCATTACTTCTGTCTTCCCATTATTCAAACTGAGGCCCATTCTTCCACTTTCTAAACCACAATGTCTATCATTTCCTGTAATTCTTTCTGACTTGTTGCTATCAAGACTGTGTCGTCAGCATAACGTAAATTGTTTATATTGTGCCCACCAACCACGATTCCGGGCATATCAATTAAAGATCTCATAATATATTCACTGTATATTGAAAACAAATCAGGTGAAAGTACACATCCTTGTCGTACGCCCCTCTTTATGCTTTGAAATGTACCTAAACAGTTGTTAATTCTTATAGCTGCTGTTTGCTGCCAATACATATTCTTTATTATTCTTAGATCTTTCCCATCAATGTTTAATTTTTCTAACAGTTTGATTACTTCTTCATGCTTCACACAGTCAAATGCTTTTGTATAGTCTATGAAGCATAAGTACAAATCCCATAACCTCTCCCCCCTGCTGCCTTGCAGGGTAAGTCTTTTTAGACAAAGGCTATTGGAGTCAAACCATATACAAACCGGCGGAAGGCAAGGGGAAACCACCGCTGTACCATCCCAAGAAAATCATGCCTCAAAATCATTGCCAAGTTGTTTTTAATTAATGATTTTTCTTGCAGGGAATTATGCCTCTGGCTTGTGACGATCGCCATCATGTTTCTAGTCTGTGACAATCCCCATCATGCCTCTAGCATATTAGAGTGCAATTTTCAAAATGTAGCATCTGCAAAAACTTAGTTGAATGGCCCTGTTGTGAAAAAGTGAAATAATACAAACATCATGTATATACAATCATACAGGCTTCTTTTGTACTCGTACACATATGGCCTTATTTGCCCATACATACAACGACACAAGCACACAAGCAATCATACACACACTCACATAAAAATATATTCATGCACTCATGCTCATACAGACTCATGCGTACACAAACATGCACTCAAACTCATACAGACATACACACCATGCACAATATGCAGAGAAGACCATGTATGTTGATATGATAAGGACAAAGGTATCTGTTAGGATACTTTTCATCAAGGTCGAAAGTAATAGACAGATGAATCTTATGGAGCATATCCAGGAAACAAAAACAAACACACAAAAAACAATTGAGATTTGATAAATGTCAGAACATATTCAGCAAGAGATGCAGTGGAAGACAGAGTTAGAATCATATGGAAAGATTAAACAACTTGGCAGCAAAAAATGATATAAGCAACAACAGCTTCATAAAAACATTAAATGGCAGGAAGGAGTGGAGATTTGTGATCAGTGATATCTTCTGCCAACAGATACTTAAAGCAGAAAACAGTTTATGCCAGCAGAGGGACCCTAGTAAAGAAATACAGTCATAACCTCATTTTCCCCTTTAACTTTGTTACCAAAAGGTTTCACAGGAAATTCCAAGGTGAAGAAAACACCATGATGGAAAAGTGTGAGTGCATTACTTTCAGAGTGACAATACAAACAGTGGTAGTGACCATTTGGGAAAGCCAGATTTCTTAAATGTGTTCTGACCAACAACAAAACAAGCATAAAATGAGAGAGAGAGAGAGAGAGAGAGAGAGAGAGAGAGAGAGAGAGAGAGAGAGAGAGAGAGAGAGAGAGAGAGAGAGAAAACAAATGGAAGGGAATTAAGGGGTAACTTCATTAATACATGCGTGTTGCTTGGGACTGAAAGAGTTGAGTAAAAAGGTAAAGACCCTTTTCATGCCATTGATCCATAAAATATATCATGATAGATCCATATTTATACATTCGGTCCGTACATGATGTGTGATACAATTATCCACCTTTACTTCCCAGGACATTACCTGGTACCCAATTTTAGGTTGTCTTGACCTGAGAACCAAACTAAACCTTCGGGCTGGCATGTGAGTGTCTAGCCCAACGCAACCACAGCCCCTACTTATCCCATTAATCATTTGATTTATATTTGCATTCATTTTGCCAGTTTGGCTGTAAGTTTAAGAATATCTGCATTATAATATAAAGTTTGGATGTCAGTTTAAGAATGTCTGCTTTATTAATATAAAGTTTGGATGTCAGTTTAAGGATGTCTGCTTTATTAATATAAAGTTTGGATGTCAGTTTAAGAATATCTGCATTATAAATATAAAGTTTGGATGTCAGTTTAAGAATGTCTGCATTATAATATAAAGTTTGGATGTCAGTTTAAGAATGTCTGCATTATAATATAAAGTTTGGATGTCAGTTTAAGAATGTCTGCATTATTAATGTAAAGTTTGGATGTCAGTTTAAGAATGTCTGCATTATAATATAAGTTTGGATGTCAGTTTAAGAATGTCTGCTTTATTAATATAAAGTTTGGATGTCAGTTTAAAAATGTCTGCTTTATTAATATAAAGTTTGGATGTCAGTTTAAAAATGTCTGCTTTATTAATATAAAGTTTAGATGTCAGTTTAAGAATGTCTGCTTTATAAATATAATATTTTTCTTGTCATTTACCACAGGTTTTGTGGATAGAAACAGACAGCAATGCCCATACAAATTTCACCTCATATGTGAAATATGCTACAGATGGACTTCACTCTGCCATGAGGGAGGCATCTAAAGATGATAGTACAGACTTTGCATCTGGCCACCAGGATGCAACATCTGATAATGTAACTGCATCAAGCATCACAAACAGCTCTTTTGCTGGTGAAACAGCCAGCTGGACATCAGATGTCCCTTCAGAAGCTGCTTTTTCAGGAAACACTGCATGGACAGGCTCAAGCACTGGGAGAAGGTGCAGCAGGAGAGCCCTGAAAGACATGTCTAAGGACATCCTTAAACAAGGCTTGAAGTTGTTGAGGGTCTGTTATATTAATGAGTGTCTAGAGGGAGATGTAGTTGATGTGCACCTGTGGCAGGAAGCTGGTGAAGAGTTCACTGTCAGGTGTTCTGTGGAGAAAGGAGAACAATTAATTTGTCAGATTGTGCTGCAGTATTTTAGCCCACCTGCAAAATTGTAATAGTCTTTAGGGCAGTGTAGAAAGGGCACTCTTGACCCTGAGGATTTAGGGTGACATGGCTGTTGCAGTTACCTGAACTATGCAGGTTAGGATTTTTATTTTTCTCCCAACAGGAACAGTTGTCAACCTCCTAGGGGAATCAAACCCAGGTCTCCTGAATGAGGGTCCAGTCTTCTGTCTGCTTTATCTTGTATATCAGATGTTGGTGCTTTATTAATATCCTACCCCAGATAACATCACAGGAAAGTCTAACAGTTTAGAGGGTGGTAAGACTGGGTTTCCCCGCTTTCTGATGCTTTTAATGACCCCAAAACATCTAGAAATGGGTTTAACACCAACTCACCTACATCCCACAAGAGAGTGCAGCCTAGGTCCCACGACTGCATGCAGCCTATGTCCCACCACTGGATGCAGCCTATCTGCCACCCTCTGAAATATTAGACTGTCCCGTGACCTGTGGATATGTACTGTTTGGTGTAGGATATTATTAAAGCATGCAGATGTGTTGTAAAGAACAATCCTCTCAGGGACGAACAATCCTCTCGGTGACAGAGGAAATTATTGTTTGTTTTCTTCTCCATAGCTTCACCCTACCTCTCCATTTTAACCTCTACTTTGTCCATTTATGTATAAATCTCTTTCTTTTTCCTCTTCTTTTTCTCTTTTCTGATTATTGTGGTGTCTGTCATTTGGTACTTTGGAAGGTTTAAAAGAAACAAATGTAGCAGGAGTGGATAACAAGAATCAGAGCTCAACACTACAGTGAATCATATGGATATACTGTCTGGAATACGCAGGAGTGCAAGGCAATGAAAGAGCTGATTTTTAGCTTCAAAGCAGATGTTTGCAGGATCATTCATACTGGGCAAAGAGGTGTCCAGATATTATTTAGAAATGAAGAAAGGACATTAAATAAAATAACCTGCAGGAAATAATGTGTGAAGGAAGAATTAGGTGTGAATCTGACAAGGAGGGACACATGAGAGGAAGGAAATAGCGTGTACGTAATCAGTGTTGTGGGAACTGTTAGCATCGGCATCTTAAGACATTTACCTCGGGAGACCTGTGTATGCCTGCTGTGCTATGGAGTAGAGACCTGTGTATGATGTTGATTCTTTAATCAGTAATTTTCTCTGCTTATCTTTCTCTTCCCCATCATCCATCATCTCCCTCTTCCCCATCATCATCATCTTCTTTTTCTCCATTTTCTTCCTCTTCCCCATCATTATCTCCCTCTTCCCCATCATCATCTCCCTCTTTCCCATCATCATCTCCTATCTTCCCCATCATCATCTCCCTCTTTCCCATCATCATCTCCTATCTTCCCCATCATCATCTCCCTCTTCATCATCATCATCTCCCTCTTTCCCATCATCATCTCCCTCTTCCCCATCATCATCTCCCATCTTCCCCATCATCATCTCCCTCTTCCCCAGACAATCATATGTTAACTTGAGTATGTTTCGAAATATTTTATAATCAGCTGTCAGTCTTATATTGATGGCATCCCCATACAGTTTTTGCAATAATTATTCAGAAGTGCTTTCTGTGTTGATTTGCTGGGTAGTTTTCAGTTGCCAAATTGTAAAACACATTCATTGACCACTTTCTATCTTTCCAACTAAAAGTTTTGTAGAGAGGCATTGGAATGGCAGCCAGTTAAGGCCAGTACAAAGCCTGGAGAGTATTGTAGACACCATGAGTTGCCTATGTAGCATTAATCTGCCTTATTTACTCCAGAGGAAAGGTAACACCAATACTTTTGGAAGAAAGCCCGCAGCAGGTGATGCCAGATCACATGATCAGTGCTCTGCCTGTCAGAGCTTCCCTCCTAGATAGGCTATCTACTGCAGTTGAGGGCCTGATCTGCGCGGCAATAAGATTACCTTTTCAGGTTGTATTTCCTCTTCCGTGGATAAGTATCCTGTTTAGTGCACTGCTGCCCTCCAAAGCCATTGGCACAATAGGGCATGTCAGGCTTGGTATATGCCCAAAACACAGTGGACTCTGAATTCAATGGAGGCTGTCTGTGACCTGTTTGTAGCTACTGTGACCTGTCAGAGCCTTCTGTGCCCTTAAAAAAAGTCCATTTGTTTGTTTTATTCAGCTCCAGTAGCAAAACAAAAAAAAATAATAATACATAACAAAACAGCTAAAAACGGACATTCATTGTTATTTCAAAAACTCATCTAGACATTTGTTATGATTGTGTACTCATTAGTTTTAGCAAAGGTTCTTGTTTGACACTAGAGCATAGCGCTGGACAACAGTTAGTTCTCATTAGATTTGCCTTGGCAGACAAGTGTATCCTTATGTGTGTCAGAAGAGGTGTTACTTATGGTTTTGTTACGTTTTACTCTGTTTTCAGTGCAGTGTCCTGCACATATTTATGAATGACTTAAAATTCCCCGTGACATGGTAGCTGGTGCAGTATTTAATATTTATAAATTATATAGACATATGTTTGTTTGATAATAATTTGTTTACGATTGTCATCAACTTATTATCCTTTTTATAATCTGTGTTCACATGTAACAAAGGATTTATAAACAGAAATATGTATGGTTCTGATGTACTGTCGTGATTTATCTACGTTTGTTTAGAACACTGATTGACGGAAACATAGGTGAAGGTGATGCTATAGTTTACACAGACGGATCAGTAATTCGGGGCAAGCGAAGTACATTCCCAGTAAACTCATGGGGGAAAACAATCAAGGAGATGAAATGGTGCTTTAAAAAATCCAAGCTGGTTTATCAGGCAAGAATGGGTTGCAACACTAAGCACTTCACCCTAACCCTCATCTTTGTACCAGTTAATGTGGGAACAAGCATACAGATTATCTTGCTGACACTGCGGTTGCGATGGCTGGTCCAGTAGTGGACAGAAGGGATGTTATCTATGCCATGCTTAGCACTTACGTGACAATGAGCACACCAAAGGGCATGACTCCGTATCCATGTCTAGGCTGATTGACTTGGGAGCTGCAAGAAATGAACATTTCACTAAGGGCACAAGACTTTCATTAACCAACACAGAACAGGCGTCATTCAGTCGTTTTACACTCTGTGGAGCTTTTGAGGAGGAGATCAGAGCACCTATGGAACTGTCCGGAGTGCTGTAATGATAATCCTTTCTGATCACTAATCTCACAAAATACTTGAGTATTTTCATGTGTGTGTGCTTGCGTTCATCAATGGCTCTGTCATCGTAAAATATGCAAGGGATTGAGGATCTGATAAAATACTTGAAGTCTTTTTGTGTGTGTTTTTGTAGGGGCCCCATAATCTGGGTGCTTAGGCACCAAGTATCAGTACGTCTATATTGCATGGAATCACGTTGATATACTATCCGGGGTATGCAGGAGTGCTATGGAATGAAAGAGCGGATTTTCTGGATACAAAAGCAATAGCTACGGGAACATTCGTACTGGACAAGTGAGATGTTCTGAAGACCGTATATGAACATATGCTGATAGAAGACATAAGGTTAGATGAAAAAACGTGAGTAAGAATGTGTGAAGGAGGGATTAGGTGTGGATCCAGCAAGGAGGGATGTATGAGAGGAAGGCGTCTGTATAATCATAGTGTTCTGGGACCAGTTATCATCTACACCTCAAGACATTTGCTACGGGAGACGGTGCATCTGTGGGTGTGCCCGGTGTGTTATGATGTCAATTCTTAAATCAGTAATCAGTCAGGGACGGACAGTTCACGGACAATTTCCGGCAGGTCCGCCAGAACTATCCGCCCAATTACATAGCGGCTATAGTACAACCTGCACAGAAAAATGGAGTGGATGTTATTAAAGCGTGTCATCTCTTAGAAACAACGTTCCAACCATTTATATCCGATCTGCTAAACTCTAAGCAGCAGAAGATGTCACATAAAGTAAAAAATTTGTAATTGTATAACTTTGGATGTTAAAACATTTGATTTACATTTGTATATGTTTCTGTCTGAGCCATAAGGCGATCCGCGAAATATTTCTTGGAGGCAGGACACAGACAGACAGACAGACAGACAGACAGACAGACAGACAGACAGACAGACAGACAGACAGACAGACAGACAGACAGACAGACAGACAGACAGACAGACAGACAGACAGACAGACAGACAGGACAAGCAGACAGGACAGACAGACAGACAGACAGACAGACAGACTAACTGACAGACAGACAGACAGACAGACAGACAGACATGACAGACAGACAGACAGACAGACAGACAGACAGACAGACAGACAGACAGACAGACAGACAGACAGACAGACAGGACAGATAGACTGACAGGACAGACAGACAGGACAGACAGATAGACAGACAGGACAGACAGACAGGACAGACATATAGACAGACAGACAAACAGACAGGACAGACAGACAGACAGACAGGACAGACAGACATCTTCAGCGACCAGTGAAGTTTCAGTACAAACGTTACAAGTTGCGGTCTGGTTACATGTCCGCGGTGCTTTCCCTCTCAATGTTTAGCGTCGACAGATTTGCTGGTCATTCACCAATGGCCTCGCCGTCCCCAGATCGTTCCACATGTAACATGTTATGCATCACTTCATAGTCCAGTTCACAACCAGTCTGCGTGTCCTTTATGCTGTTTAACATGCTTTGTGAGTCAGTAGAATACCTATATTTGTACCTTCCAGCCGACTACTTTGTTGCAAGGGTTAATGGTCGAAATTGAACACCCCTAGCGATTACACCCTGTGACGCAAAGTGCAAGGCGTCCTTACTCGAATGAGAATTCCCCCAGGTGCAAGTCCCACGAAACCCGTTCAACCCTGGGATTATATTAGGGCCGTTGACGGTTATAAAGTAACCAGAAGTCCATCCGGGGCGTTGCGGTAGTATCCACACACACACGCGCGCGCGCACACACACACACACACACAAGACCCATGGATGGGCGGGTCTTAGCGAATATAATTGTAAGGGTTAGCCCTCGCTTGTCTTTAAAAATGCGCGCCCGCGCGCACAGACAC